ACACACACACACACACACACACACACACACACACACACACACACACAACCCCCTCTAAGCTCTAAGTAAACTTCCGCCAGGCGGAGCCCTGGTGTGTAACGTCGCAGCAGCAGATTGAGTGTGTTTGAAGTGCAGTGTGATGGAAGAGCTGGTAAACAGCAGATGAAAAGGCAGCATCTCTCTGTGTGCCGCTGTCTGTCTCACCTGCCAGTGGGGCGATAACTTCATCCACATCACATGTCGCCATATCAAAGACAGACAAATGCCAAGCAGTGTCTCTGAGTTGCAGGTTCACACGCGCTCAGTTGAACTCATCTCCCTCACTTAGGGCATCTGATTTAACTCGTCTGAAAAGCTAAATGCCTTTTAAACTCCACTGAAGATGTCAGTGCTGCATGCTCCGACTCGCTGACGCCCGCTTGAACTTGGCTGACTTTCAAAGCAGTTTGTTTGTGTCCAGTTACACTGGACACAAACAAACTGGTGCAAACTGGTGCAAACACTGGTGCAAGTTGGAATATTGATTAAAAAAAACTTTCATAATCCAGATTTTTGTGGCCGACTTCATATTGATGTCTTCGGTATTTAGAATTTTTTTTATGACCAGCGTTTCTCAGTAGCCATAAAAGTAAAAACATTTTTATTAATTTTTTGAAAGCAGAGCTGCACCAGTCCCGTTAGCGGTGCATGGAGCAGCACATTGACTGTGCTGTGCGTCCAGCAATGTGCTATCTTATTGGTGTTTAGCTCATCCCCCTCACCACTTGACCCTCTAACCTCTGTAGAAGATAAGGCTGATGAGATTAGGCATTAACATTCTCAACCACCCACCACAGCCATCAATCATTGTGTGTGTGTGTTTGCAGATGGGAGGCAAGGGGTGTGTGAGGTAGTGAAAAAGAGAACAAGAGGGGGTGCAACAACCTTAATACACTTACATTACACAATTCGACATAAACACACACAGTACCCATATGTGCATGCCTGAACACGAGCATGCGTCTGCACACGAGCACGAAACAGATACGCAAACATTTGGGACAATCTCCATGAAAGGTAATATCACTGAGCCAGTGTGCATCATACACATATGTGGTGTAACAGCCATTTCTAACCCATGTGGAACTGTAGATTATGCTTGTAGATTTAGCTGTCTACAAACTGATGGATTTTGCTGTGTGTCTTTCTATCTTCTGCAACTAAATGTGAATCATTACCTTGTGTACAGCAGTTGTCAGAGAAACATCTGTGGTGTTTTAAGAGTTGTTCTCTTCTACCCGGAGCTCTAGACTCTGACTTGCCCGACAGCTTGACTTGACAACAAAAACTTGAACAGTTCAGACTGGATAACTCAATGATAATATGTCGCAATGTGCCATGTTGCGGGTTACTGGAAAGGTTTTGTAGCTGTAGTAAATAAAGTGCATTTACTTAATCATTGTGAATACATTTATGATTGTCGGGTTGCCTATTGCTGTGCAATTGGCCTATTTAGAAAGCCAGTCAAATGGATCCACATACATACATTTATAGTTATTTCTTATTATTCTTTAAAAGATCCAATGCATTGCATTGAGGAGACTTGGTCTCAGCTATGTAAAACAGTAAATAATTAGTACAGTCAGTATTCAGAGAGACTCTGAGAGACTCCAGACTTGACCAAGATGTTTTGAATTACTTGAGACTTCGCTTAAACATTCCCTCAAAAGAAAAACAGCTCTGCTTCTTTTACACTGATTGTGGAAGGGGAGAAGGTGGGACAGCTGACATGCACCAAAACAACCCCAAATCTAAAATGATCCTTAATGCTAAAAAATAAAAATAAAACATACGAGACCACAGCGATATGCCAAACCAAAGGAGCAGGACAGTTCTTCTGTGTATAACTGCTTTTGTGGGTAACAAAAACACACCCAAATGCTGAGAAAACACTCACAAAACACCCTGCAATAAGCTGACTGTAGATAAGCAGCGATGAGCCTGCACTTAGCCTGGGATCCACTACTACGGCTCTGGAACTATTCTGGGATCAGATCCAAGTCTTCCAATCTCAGTATCGACTCAATAATACCCATGGATCTCATGGACCTGCAATAGAAACGTCCTTGTACAGTGTTACGCAATAAGCAGTTGCTGAAAACTCCTTATTGAGCGTATTCAAAAGCAAAAAGGGTGTGTGGGGGGAGATGTGATGTTGTTGAATTAACAGTAATGTTACTTTGCCGTGTTCTGTTCCGTGTCTTCATAATACAAGTTGTACTCAGCTGTATGAGCTTTCTCTGACCCTATGCATGTGACCCTTCGCCCTCACATCTGTAGTTATGACATTGACCTCTCCCTCTGACCTGGTTGTAAATAAACCCAGTACTGTAGAGCAGTCTGTTTTTGGCCCGTCCCTGTACATACAAACCTGTAAATACAAACAGCTATGCATGCTGAAAACCTAGCAATTCTTTCAGGTACTTTTATAATCCCCAAATTCTCATATGGCATGTGCTGAAAAAAAAAAAAAAGAATAATTTAAAAAAAGTAGAAAAAAAGAAAAGATAAAAAAGAATTAAGAAAAAAAAAAAAAAGTTTAAATTAAATGAGTTGATAATATTGTCAGGCAATATCCTCTCTTGGACAGTGTGTGTAAAGTCTTCCTGTTTTCTTACTCCTGTGGGTGGTTCTCTTCCTTTGCCTGTCCTCCTGTCTTTCTGCTCACCATCTGTGTCAGTTGTTGTCAGTTGGCATTTTTACAGCAGCGAGGGTTGAGGCAGAGCAGAAACGAGAGGGGGGAGTGTTCACCAGCTGACCTCTGTGATGGCGCTCCAGCAGTGCTATATGTTGGCAAAGCTATCTATGCCTGGGACACAATTTGAGAAGTTCAGTTCCTGGCATGAACCACCAATCACGACAGCATATGTCCATATGGATGAGCAGCAGCTCTAGAAAACAGTTTAGGCTAGAACCAAAAATACATTTTTGGTAGCCTGCTTGAAGTTTGGTAAGCTGTCAATCACAGACAAGTGGGATTCTTTGATTTGAATACCCACTGTGTAGTTTTGAGAGGTAAACAATTGCTCATCATGTGATTGAAAATACTATTTTACCCCTGACAAAGACAGTGAATTATAGTTTTGTTTTCTCATCTTTAAGTGGTAAAATACCTGAATTCAAAAGATATTTGAATGAATAAAACCTGTTTTCTACAACCCAGTGTAATAAGGCTACATCAAGCGTTTCCTGGCTTGTAGCCGCAGAACAGGAGCGGTGCCGTTTTTGCCTCAGCCCTCCGCCCGGCCTCGTGGACTAGCTACCCTGAAAGTGGGATTCCAAAGGGATTGTGATTCTGTTTCAGCCTGTGATGTTTCAAATAGATGGAGGTGTCTGATTTTTAATCTGTGCTAAAGATATTTTACATTTAATAAATAACCATTGAAATCAAAAACTTCCTCTGTGTGAAGTTCATTGTGAACGTGTGTGTGTGTGTGTGTGTGTGTGTGTGCAGTGCTGTCTCTGCCCTCAGCCGTGGTAATCTCTGCGAGCCGACAGCTCAGCTGAGCGTGCCTGGCTCAGCTGTAGAAGGAATCCTGGGTAACGTGGTCCCCTCAGATAAACAACCTGTCCCTCCATTCAGCTTGACCACTCAACCAAGAGGAGAGGAGATTAGCACCTCAAACACCTCAGCGCACACTTCAGAAAGTACCCTGACACTCACCCCCGAAACCGGGGTGACCTCTGTCACCCTTACTGAGGTAGGCCAAAGACCACAGTAGACCTAAGCAAGTAAAGGTGCTGTGCATTTTTATCAGTTCTACCATGATAAAATAATCCACAGGCACTCAACAAACGATTCACCTCTACACAGCCAACAGCACCGAATAACAGCTAAAGCCGTTATTGGAGTGGGAGCCATGTCCATAATCTGACTGAGAGCTTGTGTAG